TTTTTTTATATATATTTATAATAAAAAATATTTTTAACAACTGTCCTATCCTTGTTTGAAAAATTCATAAAAAATTAGTAGGCAGTAGTCAAAAGGATTACTTGCACTTAAATGGATGAGGTGGCGGATATACGAACACAAATAACTTTACTTTTATATTTTAATTTTGGTTAAATCTTTAATTTAGTTTCTAAACTATTATATGGACCTCTAATTTAGTCTTTAAATTAAAAAATTCTTGAATTGATCTTTAAACTATTGCATGAAACCCCAATTTGGTTTTATGGTTCACCAATTTGTTTCAAGTTGATCTTTCTATACAAAAATAACAACTGACGTGTTTTATTATAAACGTGATACATGATCATTAAATAATTGTTTTTTATTGTTAAGTAAAACACTCAATTTTTTATATAAAAAGGTCAATTTAAAGTTAAATTAGTAAACAGTAAATATGAAATTGAAATTCATATAATAATTTAAAATCAAATCGCATCAAATTAAAATTCATATAATAATTTAAAATTAAATCGCATTTCACGTGCTGTGATTCAGTGGTCACTTACTACTCCAAAGGACAATCCATGATATGCACTCTCAAGTTCCGAGTTTAATACCTTCTATTAAGACCTCTAATATACTAACATCTAATTATTTTCTTTATAAAAAAAATTTTAAATCAAATCAAAAATTTTTTTAATTTAATAACCAAATTAAAAGTTGGAGTTAACCTTTAATTTTTTGTGTAAAAGTTATTGGAATCTTCTACATTTGGGCACGGGCACGTGTCGATCTGTTAAGTGAGGCTGGACAACAACTTTCTACTTTTGACGAGGAGCCGCCACGTGCATTGAAATTGTCAAAAAAGTAGAGCAAAATTCAAATGTAGCAGGTATTATCCAGCTAGTACAGGAATAATAAACAATTTTTTCTAATATTTTATTATTAATGGAGAGATATATTTTTTATTTCAATTTTATTATTAATTTTAATTTTAATTATTTATTTTATTTAAAAAATTCTTATTATTTTTATTTATTTTTTTAAAT